AGATACAATTAAATATTGCATATATGGGTACTCGATTTAAAGACTGAGATATTAATTACCTGTGGTTAAATTGGGGAAAATCCTTTAATAAGAGCATATTTAAAACCTGATGTACAGAACACTCAAGATTTCACTAAGTAGCTGAATATAGTTGTGAAAAATATCTGTCACAGTGAGATAACTAAATTCTAATATCTACTCTTCAGCAACTCACTTGCAATCTCATTTACCAGACCATGATCATTATCATCTTTATAAGTAATTACTGAAAAAGTAAATTTCCATTAGAAAGGCCATCTGGTTTACATTAAAAGTCTAGGCTATACAAGTTATTGTTCTGAAAATTTTTTCCCCAACTGCACCATCATCATACTAGTAGATAATCAGTAAGTAAATTTCAACAGCAGCTTCATTAATGGATTTTAATTTCATTTTCTGCCTAAGGGACTCAAGAAATTCAAAGAAACCGACACAGAAATGGAAAAGTACCCATAGAGGTGACAGGGAATGTAGGACAGTACCTAGATGAATACTACTATGCTTTTCAGCATCTTACCCTCCTCTCTGTTCCTTTCTCAAATGCAGGTGTGAAAGCCTCCCACTGTTCAGGAAGATTTTATTTCATTAGTTTTCAAACAGTTTAAGGAATTAGGACTATGATTTTTCTATAGCTGAACTATCAGCCACCAGTGGCACAACTCAAAACACCACACCCATCTTTCTCTTCTAAACTGACAACCATTTGTTTTCACTCAAACTGTTCTCAGTAAGGGAAACAAGTATATCCTTACTTTAACCAGAGTTAAGATAACTTCCCTCAAATACATTTTTCTTCACACAAAGTTATGCTCCAACTTTTCATTACAATGATCACACATTATAGCAGGTATAAATTATTCTCTCAATCATTAATACTTGTCTCATTACAAAGAAAAAGAAGCAAACCAAAACAGAACACCAACAGTAAGAAGCCAAACAATTTGTCTCTAAATCTTGCTGCTAACCAACTCTGAAATCCTGTCCTTAGCCAAAAATGGGCTTAAAGAAATATGTTAATATGTGACAGAAAGACAGTTGGTCAACAGGTTTGGACAAAACTGTCTTCCCTTCTAGTTCTGGTTTAAATATGCTTCATGAGTGCAGACTTCCATACAGTGTTCTCTTATGGCGGTTCAGCCTTTTCCTAATGAGAACCTCTTCTGACTAGGTACAGCAGTGCCCCACACAATGATTCTTTTGTGAGATGGTAAAAGGCCAGCTAACACAAATGGCTTAGTGGTATGTGTAATAAGTAAGATGGTATGTGTGTGGGTCAGTAGAAATAGGTGAAAATTTAAAAACAAGCTTGGTATTAATCTAATAATTTTTAAGCTTTCATTTTTAAACTACCTTTAAATGCCAAATTTGAGAAAGGTGGCATTTAACTAAAATATACAACTTTTTTTTTTTTTTGTAATTTAACTTTTTTAAAGTATCATTCATGTTTTATTTTACTTAGAAAGCAGCACTGCTTTTTAAGCAATGTCTTAGGTAACTCATATCAGATATGATAAACTTACACTTTTATTCTTTGGAAACAGCTTAGATTCTGTTATTTATCATTAGGACAGCAGAGACCAGAATGATGACTGGCAAATTAAGACTACTTGTGCTTCATCACAATAGGACAGAAAAAAAAGAGGAGTGCCAGGATTGCTGGAGTGAAACAGATAAGAGAGGTCACGATGGCAGACTTATGAAGTGTAAAGGTTTAATAGAAATTTAAGTTCTTCAAGTAAATCTTATGGAAGGTTATTCAAGTAGAAAAATATTCTTATGATTTCAAGTATCTAATAAATACAATCACCTTCCAATCATAAGACACTTTACTGGGAACTCCAGTACTGAAAAAGGTAAAGAATATCCACTGCTCCTCAAGTACTGCATTAATAAAATGGAACGAAGACTCCATTTAAGAAAACACAGAATACACGGGAGCTGTCACAGTAATTACACCAGTAATAAAAGTTACATGAGAGCCTTATTTCAAAATAGTTCTTTTGGGAAAACTCTAAATTTTGAACAGTTGTTTATCTACAAATCAGAACACAATTTTATGATCTAAAAGGATATTCCTTTTTGGCAACACTAAGGAATATACCTGTTTGAATTCCATCCTCCTCCTGTATGTTTTTCCTACTGAGAGAATAACTTCTTTTAAGAAGAGATGGGGACAAAAAAAGAGAAAGGATGAGGAAATAATAACTTTTTCCACATTCCCTCAAGTAGTTCTGAGACGCTTTTTTTCCCCCACTCTCCATCTTTTCCTTCCCAACTATAAGAATAATCCCATTACCCGTTATAGCAATTTACACACTTCTTTGCAGCAAGTTACATACTCAGTATTTGATTCTGAAAAATGTTTGCAGTAACAGCACTGGCAAAAGCTAAAAAATAAGCTCTAAAATTGGTCTTTCCAAGAAATCCGTTATCTTTCCCAAGAAGATAAATTTGAACTTTGGCATCTGTTTTCCACATATCTAGATTCTGTGAATATTAGGAATTCTTCTATTACACAAGCAAGAACTGAGATTGTTGTACTTGAACAGTATTCTAGATCCTTAGTATAAATATAGTCCATATTCATTTTTAATGTTTATTTAGAGTGTAGTGGGAATATGGATTCAAAATTTTCCTCCATTTAATTTCTTTATGGAATGTAAAGACAGGTTGACTGAAGATTTTCTTTTAAAATAATCCAGAGTACCATATCCAAAAGTAAGCAAACAGAAGAAATATTAATTTAAATTCATCCATCTGGGATGGAGCTATCTGGGTCATCTAGAATCTACCAGTTTTCTTTCCTGTATACTATGTACAGAATGGTCCTTGCCCAAAGCTGAGTCCTGACTGGCTAAATGTAGTCTTCTTCCTGTCATGGCAATGACAGCTGGCTCCTGCCTCTGCACAATTAGTATACAATGTATACAAGCAATGTATACAAGCAATGTAGGTTTTCTTCCTGAAACACAAAGGCCAGCAGAATACAGTTTTTGGAAAGCTATAGCAGGTCTATAAAATTTGGTGAACTACACATCTCAGACTTCATACAGCCATGAGAAAAGATTTCCTTCCCACAAAGTTCAGTTGATCATACAGTTCCAAAAGCCTCAAGCCTACACAAAGAGAATACAGCATAAGTACAATTAGCTGCTGCATGTAGCATGTGTTGATTCCACTTCAGAACTCAAATCCAAACACTCTGAAATACACAAAATGCTGCTAATTATACACAGACACCTTTTTATCTTAACACATAAATAGTATAACAGCTGTGGTCAGGATCTGCCAAAATCTGGTGAAAGAAATTGATCTTACTGTACTGACAACCAATGAACTCATCCCTATATTTTGGAATCCTGCTTCTTCTTAAAATAATCCATACCAAAGAAAACGTGCATGCTTCCAGAAAGTAAACCCATTCTTCCTCCTCTGAGAGCAGTTTTCAGAAACTGAGCCATTTGGACAAGATTTTTCATCACAATGAAACCCTTAGATTCAAACAACCATGTATGTATGTGTTTAAAAACAAACCTGTTACTTTCCCTCTCCTAAAGGCTCATAAAGGCCTAAAATAGTGAATACTAGTCGTTCCTAGTTTTATTTTACCTTAACAATACTTCTTTGTCCAACAGATCTCTTAAGTGGAAGATACAGCTGCATGATGTGCTTACTGACTCTTAACAGTTAAGCAGTAAGAGTAAACTAATGGCATATTGTTGAAATTTTTCTATTTTGACATGAATTCGCCTATCATTCCCATTTATTACATGGGCATGGTTCACAGTGTGATTTTGGTGTGTACAAACTACGTTTGCTTTCTGAGTAAACTAAACTAGAACTTTGGCTCCATGTGTATAGCAAATGAACTCTACCCCATAAGATGGTGTCAGAGTCTAAACAAACGAGTTTGCCCCTCGGCCATTTTCACTTGTGTTTTGTGGAGGACATACAGTCTAGAGAACCAGACAAAACCTAGTCTGAACTAAACCCCTCAAATTCACACTCTACAGATGCAGAAGTACCTGTAACAACAGCTTTAATTCAGTAGAAGCAAATGAATGTACTAAATTATTTGTCACAGTAAACAAAGCCTAAGACTGTACTATAGTACATCAGGGACACCACAGATATTTCTCCTGTGCTTGTATTAAACTGTTATCTGTCTTTTTAATTATATGAGTTAGCATTCCTCTGAAATTGCTTCAGAAAACAGGATTTCCATTGACTATCATATCAAAGCAGATATAGTAAACTTTAGTAGCTTACTTAAAAATAAGCAAACAAAACCACTGCTTGTGAAGCAGCTCTGCAAACTCATCCTGCTTTCTTGTCCAGATAGCACATTTTAGCTATTCAATATATTTGTAGCTGTAGAAATTCCACAATTAGAATTTAGTTAACAATTCTCTCAATAAATGAGGCTGATCAAAATCCAGTTCACTCTCCTTTGTGTTGGCTTTACATAGATAAAAAAAATAGTAATATTTTATTACAGTTACTGAAGAAAAATCTTTCCAAGACTGCATCAACTTATGAGATAGCATATTAACATAGAGACTTATCTGACTCCTTTACAATATAACTAACAAATTCAGTTAAACTCTGAGGGTGTATTACTTCAAAAGATGCACAGCTGTAGAACCTTTGCAATATCCGCTTTCTTGCCAAAAACACTTAAGAATGTATTCTCTTGTACACAACAGAGACACTTCTACCAGACTTACTGAGAAATATTTACATTAGTAACTATCACTCTCCAGGGCCAGGATTTTTACTGTCTTTCTTGGTGAAGAAATGATCAACCATCTCTCCACAGGAATCACTGCAATGTCATCAGACATTACAACTCCAGAACAATTACTGTGGCAAGATAGGAGTAACTCCTCCCATGAGCAGAGCAGCACACTGCCTTCACACAGTACATGCACCCTTGGGAGGAAAGCGAAGAGACAACAGACCTTCAGTGTTACCTATTTGTCTCTCTAGATCTGCTGCTTCATCTGGTGTTGCGCGTGGGAGGACACCAGGATCACTGAAACTAGTACGCAGCAGGGTCCCCATCACGAAAAAGAAAAGAATCCCACCAATTGCAGGTATAGCAGGTGTAATCTTCTCTGACAAATATGGACAACTGGAAAAAAAAAAAAGATTAAACATATCAATAACACACAGTGCAACTTGCTCTCAAAAACTGTTTACCATTATAAATTCATACAAAGAATTAAATTTTCTTCTAGTGATATATTACTTGTCTTGGAATGTTTATTGGAGCTGAAATTTCTGTTTATGTGTTCATGACACTTCTGAAATTTCTCATGATCTGTTTAATAAAGGTCCAAATAGCATAATGACCTCACTAATATGCAATACTCATTTACATAATAAAATATTTTTATTACAGGGTATTATAAACTCATATATTTGTTCATCTGCTGTCCAACTGCATAAAGTAAATTGGAAGGGGTGAGGGGAAGGGGAAATAACCTGAAGATATTCAGCAATAAAAAGCAAAGCATATAACATCATGAAAGATAAAATAAGCCACACTGAAAAATGTAATTAAGTCTATAAAATTAATTTATCATCCATCACAAAGATGGCGCTCAAGAACTTACACCTGTGACACATTCCTTTAATAGCATTGGTATATACCCATTTTATAACAGCACTACTTTCTTAATCCATTTCTTGTAACTTGGTAAACTTGTTTACTCATTTACAAAGAAAGAGTGCAAATGACAGTGCAACACATCTACATCTACAAATAAATAATCCAAGGGGGTCTAGGGCAACATCAACAGCCTATTACCAGCACCAAAAAAAGGCTCTACAGTACCAGATTTACAATATACATGCAGGTCTTAAGATTGGATCACAGTTTTAGCAAATTTTCTTCTATGCTTCACATAGAATAAAATCAAAATGGACAGAAGCATTGGAATCTAAACAACACACAAATATAAGTATCTCTTTACAGATGTACAAAAAGAAGAGATATGAACATTTAGACATCACACAGTCTATCACTTCTGTTAATCTGAGTCACACAATAGCTCACTGTGTCATCATCTTAGAAAACACACAGGCTGAAGACTCTCTTCATAGCTCTTACATTAAGTAGAGGTTAGCAAAACAGAGATGGCTTCATGCATTTTGGGTGTCTGCATGAGGCCATAAAATAAACCTAAAACCAACGTAAGCCAAAACCCACCAAGTTCTAGGCCTTAGGGCTTCATCTAAAGCTTCTAGGTATCAATCAAGTATAATTAACATCATCTTCCCTGTTTCTGCTGCCTGCCTTAAATGATGATTCAGACACAGAAGCTTTTGCACTGCAAGTCAGTTACCCTCACTAAGAACATGAACTCTGAGCAAGTGATGACAATGTCAGCTTCACTGTCCATCACTTTTGCCAACAGGATGGGGAGAGAATGGAAACACACTTCATACCAGCTACCACGTACCAAGCATTTATCTCCCTGAATAATCCTGTTAAATGTACTTGGCTGTTCCATCAAACACCACGGGTTTCACGGATGCAGTGAGTCCAAACGCATTACACGGCACATCATATCATCACTATGAGCGGAATTCATCTTTTACCCTACGTGAATGTAATATTACAGGTGTAACAAGTTACAAAAGATTAAAAAGACAACGGTGTATAAAAAAAAAAAAAAGAGGCAAGGGGTAAGAGTTACTGTAGTTTCATATAATGAAAGGACTGCTGTTTAAGTACTAGGACATGTACTTCAAATGCATACTTTTAGAAAAATATGTTTCAAAGACCCAGATTTATGAAATCAGTGCTAACTAAAGGAAGCAGCAGCAAGACAGCTGGAAGATAAGCCTTGCTCCCTTCATGTCAGAGAAGTCAGAACAAACAACCAAAGAGCAGCTTTCATACCACATAAATGTCCTACTGTTCAATTTATTTCTTGCCACAAAGGATTACTGAAATCAAAAATACTGTAATATGCTCAGACAAGAGTACAAATAGGCTGCAAGAACGTATTTTTAAAAGGATTAGAGGGAAAACGTACATTAATGAACACTAAATATAGCACAGTGCTATTATTCTTCTATTGCATTATTCATTACACATACCAAAGAAATTGCAACTGTGATGAAGTCTGTTGACCAAACAAGAGCTGTATGTGTGCAAAAGGTACCATGAGATAATCTCAGGGCAGGACAGCAGGCACAATTTGGACAGGCGCCCATTGCAAAGACAGCAATGGCGCCTGCCTACACAATTTAATTTCTCAGTGATACCCAGTGCATTCTCTGAAGGGCTGAAAAGCCATCATGACAGTGACATGTTTTAACAATTTCATATGGAATTGGTAGAAAGAAGAAAATCCTGTGGTGAAATACTGAGAAAGCCTTGCATTGCTGAAAAGTGATTACTTCATTCTAGTAAAAGAACATAAAAATGTCTCTATCTGCCTTGCTGAACCAAATACACCTGCAGTGAAAAAAAAAACACTGAGCCCTGCACACCATTCACCATAGGCAAGTATAAGGTAATCTGCTTCACCTAAAGGTGTTTTCATGGTTTAACACCCTGTATTTTAATCAACTTTGACTTGCAATTATTCCAGCAATAATGCAGAAAAGACTGAAGATGTCAACTTTGGCAATAATAACCAACTATTGCTCCACCAATTCAGAAATTATTTCAAGCTGAGAAAGCGGTCCTTACAGAGATTCAGATCCTAGGCAGGACCATTCAATCCAGTCCCATTTATGTATGAACAGATGATATACTATTACATGGATCTGCAGAGAGCTCAGTCATAACTGTCCTTTAGAAAGCCCAATTAATTTTTAAAATTCCTGTCAATTAAATTAAGAAAACCCCACATATACTATATAGACCATTCTTTTTCTTCATGTCTGTATAAAAAAACAGCAGGGGGAAAAAAGTTTTAGTATATTCTGGGTTGTTTAAAAAAAATCCACTAAAAGTGGAATTTAGCTCAAAACTGTCAATAGATCTGCAGAAATACACTTGCATATTATATAATTTCTATTTGCATACTTATAAAACAAATGTATTTGTACTGCTACACTAAGTCAAAATTATTTAAATAATTTGTTTTAGTGTTACTACTTTTAAATTTGTCAAATATTGTACACAGAAAAAGATTATTCCTAATGTTTACTCAAATTTCTTAATTAATTTGCTTCAATTAATTTTGCATCCCTTCAGGCATCAACTTTCCTCAGATATTGCAAGAAATATGTTATCTGGATGGTATTTTCAGTGAGTTTTTAAAGTAAATATTAACAGGTATTTCCTGACAGCAAATTTCAGAACTTTCATGCAGAGGACTGCCCATCTGCAGCACGATTTATGATAGAGCAGCACAGATCTCCAGAAAAAAATCTCTGTCCTTCTGCAGAGCAAACAGTGACACCTTTTAAAATCAGCACTTGCTAACTACTAGACATGAACTAACATCCTCAGTTTACATCTTAGACAAAGTAAAACTATTCTTCTTAACCAGCATCTGTAATGATAGCAAGTACTGACTAGGTCTGTGCCAGGAAACACATTTTTAGGAAGTATTACTTGACTATAGATCCCACTACAAAGTATTTTTGTGGAAATAGCTTCTTCAAAGAACAATGTTCTGATTTGCACATAGCAACCAGTAATAACCTGAAGTTTTGACTTCATCTATAGAGGGGCTTTATACAAATCAGCCCTGCTTTTTACTTGGCTTCTCAGTTGCTTTTTTGAAGCATTATGTGAAAGTTTGCATGAGTGTAGGAGGAAATAAAATAATCTGGAAGACTAGTCTGTCACAGCTAAATAAAATAAAAACATACTAGCATTTATGAGATAATTATGAAGTATCATCTCCATGAACAAAAGATGCAGGAGATCAACAAAAGTAATTCTTACCACCTAGCAGCCCTCAACTGTGTGTCTGTGCTCCCTGTGGCTAACCAAGACACAGTAACCATGCTGAAGAGCACACACAGTAAGAGTCCTACAACTTTCAAGCTCTTTAGTTAGAAAAGGCAAGGAGAGAAAAGAAGCCTCCTTAAGGCTTTTCCTGGAAAGATGAACTGACAGTTGTTGTTATTCACGGAGAGGAAGATACAGTAAGAGACAAATCTATCCAGTAGGAATAATGGAGGTTTGGAGAGAGGCTAACCCTGTAGTTTCAAAAAAACCCATTAGTAACAAACACAACTACTTACTAAAGAGCACAAATAAGACAAGGTTTTACACCTGTGAGAAATGAGAATCTTGCTTAACGTTTGCTAAACTGGCAGGCAAAAAACAATAAAAGTACAAATAATAGGATACTACATGTCAAGTTTTTCATCAACATAATACTCTTTGCAGCAGATATAAATGTACTCTAGGAAAAGCATAATGTAAGTATAGTTGAACCAAGTAATAGAAGGAAAAAATAGTTGTTTCCTACATCATCAATTTAATCTATGTTTCTGTAGGTATGGCCTATTTAATATACAAGTAGCTATTGGCGATGATGTCCACAGGTGATGTCCAACACTAAGAGAGAAGGCTTGCACTGAGAACCGTGGGTTCGGTCCCACATGAATGAGACTCTGCTGCTTCCCTTAAACTAACCCAAAGGGTTTGTTGTTTGTCCTTCCACATTTATGGCTCCTCTCAGCTTCCCCTTCCTTTCAATTTCACTGCACCATTGCTCCAATTCACTTGGTCCCAAACTCCTGCCCTTATGCCAACCTTTGTCAGGTTCTTCTGCAAGCCAGGTTAGTTTACTAAAATGTATGAAAACACCACCATTTTTTGGACTTCTCCTTCTGCCTCTTTAACAAATCAAATCTACACTTGGAAAGGAGGGTTGATATTAGCACCAAGCAAGAGAGACAGCAGCATATAAAAAAATTAGAGGCAGAGGGAACCTGGGAGAGAGGGAGGAGACCCCCATTTCAGCAGCTGTCAGTAAGGTTTTCATTCAGACCACTAAGGTTTTCATTCTTCATACAACTACCTTTTTGAGAGGACCTTATTTTATTATAAAGGTAAGGTGAGGAAACTCTTTAAGAAAGGTCTGACACAAGGAAAAAGTTACAATAAGAAACAACTTGCAGTGCATCAACCAGTTGATGGTTAATTCTTTG